GGGCAATTATGCTTGAGCTTGCTTCTGCTTTGGCTGGCAGGCTGGTGTACCTATTCTCCATGCACCACTCCACTAGCCAGGGCCTCTATGAAGCAGTGCCTCTTGGGTTGCTCCTTTCTCTGTTGGTGAAGGGCAGAGACTTTGTACACAAGGAAAAACTTGTCTCAGGTGGTGACCAAGTAGTAATTTCAAAGCTGTATAGAATATCCCTTTCTCATTCTCTTTTTGGAAGACCTTTCCAGATTCAGGGATACTGCAAGGTAAGTTCTTAGTCATTTTCAAGTGTGTATCAAAGGCACATGCCACTGTCCAGCAATACAAAATATATATTCCTTCAAATGTATTGCAAGCTTTTCATCCTTCCTGAGTGATTCTTAACTTCTCACACCTTCAGTGATTTCAGGAGGGGGAAAGTACTGAATAGACAAAATGAACAGGGACTAGGGGGGAACCAGACAGAAAAAGAGTAAAAGACAAACTTTAAGTGTGACAGAAAAGCCTGCAGTCACTACTCACAGGGGGTTAAGTACACTTTATTTCAAGGTGGTTACTAACAAATTCAGGATATTCACTTTGGCTTCAGCCTTTAATTTTTAAAACCACAGATAGCTCCAAACTCCTAATGCAAGACCTTGTATCAGTTTCTAGTTTAATACCCGAGCGATTGCTTTACTGTGCATTATACAGACTTGCAGAAGACCTGCACACAAAACCACCTTTGCAGGCCACAGACTTGTGATCAGGGGTCCAAATTTAATGTAAGACAAAGGTGCTCTGTTGTTATGAGAAACAAAAACACTCCTGAGAAGGAAAGACAAAGATGAAAACTTAGCAAACCAATTATCATTACCAAAAGTAGGAAACTAATTTAATTCCAATCCTTCAAAGGTTGTTTTCTAACTTGCAAGTACTGAGGACAAATCCTACCCTGAAGGCCAACTTACCGCAGGTGCTTTTTTAAAAAAAACTTCTTTGGAAAATACTTGCCTTGCAATAAGAAAGTAGAGAGACATCGGGTTGTTAAGTGATCTGAATATTGTTTCACAAGTATTTAAAGAGATTTGTGATAATGAGCTCTTCTAACCAAGGCACGCAAGATCCAACTGCTGAAAAATTTAATTTGGAAAAACTCAAAATGATTTTTTAAGAATCAGGCTACTGGAATAATTCACATAGGAAATTGGCATTTTAAAATCAGAAGATGTTTAATATATCTTGTCTCCAGTTTTATTGCAGCACATGTATCTACTGCGCTCCTGCTAAAGGCATTCACCAGCACTGTCCCTTACCAGGCTTTCTCCGGAGGGCGTTTCCCACATGTGTGACCATCTTAAGCCTTTCTCTTCACTTCCAAACTGCAAGGCAGAGTAGCACGAGGACTGAAACAGTAGAACGATGCTATAAAAGAACAAGTTCCTTCACCAGCTGCAAAGTGCAAGGCCCAAAGGGTTTATAAAGAACATCGTGTGGCTCTAATGCCTCTTTTCTGTATCCACTGCTCTTCACCTCCCTCACAAGCACGGCTGTGTGCAGTACAAGGATGTTCATCATCATCATGAGAGGACCTTTAAAAAAAATAAACTTAAACTGAGCATTTACCATGGTAATTCTAGCAGAATCTTAAATTACCACCTCATTCTTTGGTTGGTTTTTAGTTTTGCTGGTGGTTTATTTTGGGGTTTTTTTGTTTGTTTTGTTTTTAACTCAGACAAGTGTCCTTACATTTAATACATGCAAATGGATATGTTCACTGTTGAAAGGGTACATGAAGTTTAGATGGAAGGAGGTGGAAAAAAAAGCCAAGCACCTGGAAAACACTTCATTGCTTCTTTATTTAGATGCACCCACAGTACAGAGCCTCTTGAGCATGTGCAAAAGAGGAAGATTACACATTTATAGCTGGGAGCACCATTGAGTTCGAGTTTCTTTGATACCATTTTTAAGAAAGTAAACTATTTCCAAAGAATGACATTTGAATCCAAGAGCTTAAGACCTGCGTGTACTTTATCCAGAGGTGGAAGTTATTTTTCTTTTATTATTACTTCGATGTAGAATAGAAGACATTTTCACAGTCTGGCTGGACCAGTCTATATATTTTCATATGCACCTTTTAATTTAATATATATAAAAAATGTTTCATTTTTCCCCCCTACCCACAGATAGTTAAATGCATCTAAGTTTAAAAACAGTAATGGACCAGAGCATTCCTATGGGGAAAAATGAACTTTTGCTGCCCTCTCCTGCTTAAACAATGAAATGCTAAAATATTAAGATCTATGAATCTAATGCTAACCTTGAAACAAAAAGCATGACAGGTCATTCGCTATACTACAATCAAAAATAGGACAACAACAAGAAATGTATCGGTACTATTTATATTTGAAAACTCCCCATCGTTACATGAGGTTATGAATACAACATATTTACAGTAAGTGATCCAAATAACAAAAACTTTTATTCAGAGAGGTCATGATAAAAAGTGTGTGCTTCTGTGGACGGGAAGCAACACTTGGGTAAAAGTTTTCAATCACAATTAGTTCCATTCTGTTTCAAGATACTGTTTCATAGACTTCAAAACAAAAAAAAACTGGGCTATACAAAATCTGCTGCACATACCAACTAGAAAAACTGATTCATGGCTCACTACAGAGCTGCTAAGGGAGGAAGGTGAACCAACATAAAAAAGCCACGTGTAAATAAAATAATTCCTCAATCTTGCGCATTGTCATCTTTGTCTTGTCTTAGGGCAACTGCTTTGGGATTATATTGTTACACAATTAAGAGAAAAGGCCATCTTTGTTTTCCAAGACAGAATGAAAAGCAAATTATTTCAGTTTTATCTGGGGAGGAAGAATCTAGTCTTTCCCCCTCTTCACAAAGCAACAAAGGGGTTTTTAAAGCTCCTAATTTATTTTCCTTTCCATAGAGTGAGAAAGCCTAAGGCCGTACTTAGGCACGTATAATGTAAGTACAGCTGCGGCATTTCTTACTCAAGCAATTCTTGGCTCTAACACCCTCAATTTTTCCGTATATAGGAGGAGATAAAAAAATAAATTAAATCCTTTTATTTATGCTAACAAAACCGAGATTAAATTTGCTGTAACGCTGCTAGTGAATGCTCCAATGGTGTTAGAATACTTATATTTAAAGCATTCCAAGCTTTGGAAGAGAGACAAAAAACACTCAAAAGCACTGAAAGGAAAACAATAAGGGAGACTTGCAAGATGAAGAAGGCAATGTGTGCTCAATTTAAAGTATATGAGAGGAACTTTACTTTTACAGTTGTTATATCCCCATGACCTGATGCA